ATTTTGAATTCTCTTTGATTATCTGCTGCTCGAACCGGGCGAAGGTTGTAGCCTCTCTGCTGTTGTGTGCGGTTCTTATGTTCATCTCGTGGGCTGCAGCATCTGTATCTGAGGTTGTCCAATTTCCCAGCGTCAAAATCCCACATTCAGGACGCCATCAGACACTACCGGCCCACGTTGAAAAGCCTTGTCTACCATGAGCGCCAACTCGCTCCCATCGATGCTGATGTCTTATTTGAGGATGATCGGGATGTGTCACCCGCGCGGGTAATAAACTTGTCCACCATTGTAGACCTGGGCCAGATGTCTGCTCCGGGTATGTGTGCTAGTCCATCTGCTGCTGTAAGGTTTCCTCGGTCCAGTAAACATGTGCCCGCAAATGAGAACAGCGTCTGTGCCTTCGACCCACGGCCAAGCGTTCCCGGCTTCAGATTCTACATCTGCGGTTCAGTGGCCTCAATCGAATCCCCATCCCACGAGAGATTATCACCTTTCTTTATGAGACGCCCAAAGGCTACTCACAGCATCCTCGTTCGTGCTGCGGTTCCGTGGACCGGGATGCCTCCAATGATAACCGCGACTACGGTCCTATTTTTGATGAGTATTTTGACAGGTCACAATTCGATTATATAGACCCGCAGCAGGCAGTTCTTACGTCTTCTGAGAGGCCGAGGATCTCGTGTCATTTGCTGAATAGGTATTTGGCCGCGACGGACTGCCGGCTCTGCAGGTCCTCGCGTTTGGGACTTCACCCACGGCGGTCGATACAGGAGCTAACAGTTTCTAATGCGTCGCGTCCATTCTTCATGGGAGTGTAGTGGTAAGGTGCCTGCCGGCCTTGCATGCGACGATACGACGCGGCTGTCCTTTCGTCCGGTAGATATGAGTGACTATTCGATTTGGGATGGTGCTGTGGTAGACGCGGCTCGTTTTCTGTCCGCATCCTAGGAGGCGGATTGATGGAGACACCGTACGAGCTGTAAGCCTGCGTGTCCGGTTTTCCGGTCTTCGTTGTGATTCGCGGCAGACTCCTACGGGGCGCAACCCGTCCCGTACCGGATTCGGTCAAAAAAAATCTGTTTTTTATTATATACAAGGATAATCAAACGGCTATAGCCGTAAGTGAGGGTCATAAAATTAGAAAATATTGAGCATAAGGATTAAGATATGTAAGTAATTAACCCTGATCTCTGTTCGTCACTTGTTCAACAGTTACCAATGATACTAATGTTAAAACTCCGCAGGCTGGTTTTCGCAACCAGATTATCAGAGACCCGGCAATTTTCCTTCTAAAAAAAGAGGCCATATTTGGTTGATCAGTGTTATGAGCGATAGACTTCCGTCTGGAGCGGGCCGATGACCTCCTGGGGACGACGAAGCTGACATTTGAGTAGCTTCATACTCTGCTGCTATACACAGTTTTTGTGTACTCCTCAAATCACGATCGCCGTCGTTGACTAACGAGACACATGGGAACGCGGTGAGAATGTTCGCATTTCGAACACCTTGATCCTGCCTAATTGGGATCGCATTGTCCCCGGGAAGTGAAAAGGGTCCCAATTGGCATCCTCGAAATTGACTAGATTGAATTCTGTCTCATACCTTCGCTGAGCTTGCTGAATTGGAAGCCGGAATTCAGCCGCTTTTTGCAAGATTTTCCTTATACTTACGCGGATCGAAACAAGTTGGGTCTCTGAGAGCAATGTCCACAAATATGACGACACATTGCGGATCACCGTCTGCATTCTTGCCTGGAAAATGCTTTCTTCGGCATTATAATCAATCGAGAGAAGAACATGTCAACGAAACTTTCCTTCTCGGTATATTCTCGGCGAGGTGAGTGAGGATTCCGTGGATTTCAGAATCTTCCGATAAATGTGATTCGGCTGGACGATATATTTGCAAATTTCCCCAGATAGAATAGCAAGAATTATGGTTAGGCGCATTCCTTTAGCTTCGGGAGACTTTGAGGGTACTAGAGGGACATATTGCTGAGCCAAATTGGCATTGTCTTTTCGAAGCTTGTCCCAGATCGATTTGTCCTTTTGATCGAACGAATGAATGGATATTTACGTGATAGGTTTAGAGATACACATACCTTTAGAACTTTCTCATCAAGATCCTCCCTCAAAATGGTGAATATCACGCTCAAAGCAAAAATCCACAGATCTGGATTCGTTCTGGGTGAGTTGGATCAGCATACGAACGTTGCCAAATACCCCAATGTAACTTACACTGAACTTTCATCCAGCTACAATTGCCGAACAGTGAAGCTTTCGAGGATTTGGGGTCGGCCTTGGCTCGCTTGTAATTCTTTATCTAATGAGACCTTTTCAGTTTTCTGCCCTTCCATTTTCTGCTGCGCTAGTGAAAGCATCGGTTGAGACTTGATCTAGCAATTTTCATCCTATCAACGGTCGTGTCTTTCTCTTTCAAGATTTGTTGGAATGTACTGATGTCCTTCGCTGATTGAGAAACTTTGCCGAGCGCCAGTGAGTAAGATGACTTGAGGCTGCTTATCTGCTGGCGGAGCCCTGATATCTGTTTGGAGTACTCAGTGAAACATTTGTCTTTTTGCTTTGCCTTTTCGCTCTCATTTGCTGCGAACATTTCCTCAACGGAGACCCGCTTTCTCTCCTTTCGATTGAGGATTTCATTTCGGGCTTTCCTTAGCTCTCCATCTCTAGCGTGGACTTACTTGTTCACGCTGATTCTCGATTTCTTCAAGTATGGCAGACGTGGCTTGGGATTCTGGACTCGACGTACACTAACTTGTTTAAGAAAGATCTTGATGAGACTGTTTGGTTATGAATAGTCAAAAAATTCTCAATTTGACAAAGAAAGATTTCTTGATCTGATAGGGGGATAGTAAGAGATTCCGACTGTTTTATAGACTTCTTTTTTCATAAAAAGACGTGTCAAGAAATACCAGGAACGGCTTTTTAATTGATGTGTAAATAGTTATTCACAGATTCCGGTCATACGATAGATGCGAACGGATGTTCTACAAAAGTACGTGCGGGAAGTTCCATGAGCCTCAGTTGAAAGCGCAAGAAAAGCGATGCTGTTTTCTGCGTGCAAAAACAGGGCTGGCTTGCAATGTGTTCTCGCTCCTGTGGGTTCAATGTATGCGAGTCATTGCATGCATATTTTGTGCATCCATGTCTAGCTACGTGTATTCAAGAATGTGGTTACCTCGTTTGGACTTCGGTTTTCCTGTGAGCCAAGGTATATAGGGTAAAGATGCAGTTGTTCTTGTCAGGACTGCGAACAGGGTAATGTGCTACATAATTGAGTGATCAGCAAAATGCGCCAACAAACCGATCCCCAACACAACACACGAGTGGGAAGTGGAGTACGTGCATACCTTCTGGCGCTATGGCCAGTCAGGCTGACTTGCCTAGCGCCCAGATTATCAACTAAGCCTAATTATTGGTTGATCAAAGGTTGAGATGCCAGTATTATATAATACACTGTTCATTTGCTTGTGAGCACATCCACGTCGAAGGTGGCGACAGGTGGTTTAGTATTGTTCGGCTTTTGACGTCGTAATCTAACAGATAATGATATAGATTTAGGAGAAAAGTTTTCAGGAAAGATAAGAGCAAGAAAATAGTGCTGAGTGAAAAGCATTTAGACAGTTCCCCAGAGATGATCGACCACCTGGGCGTAGCTTTAACACCATTCCTATGGGATGGTACTTGGCAATCAGATATTCTTCAGTAAAAGTGAGATCTGTAAGAGCTTCGGGGTAATTTTGGTACATGGTCACGTTGATTTTGTTCATGGCTGAGAACTTCGGAGCAGAACCGCGTAGGAGTGCCGCATGGCATCCTGGGCACAGATTCCAGAAGCCATCAGTATAACCGCACAGATCCAGAAACCGTTCCAATGGCCGTAATACAGGATCCTCATCGGGAATCTGACGGGAATCGGCATGAGAAGTAAACATGCCACATGACAACAAGCAATGTCTCGGCTGGCAACGCCCATTTCCTTCTCAAAACGAGCCATAGAGCGGCGCACGAGTGAGCTGGATACGTTTTGTGGGAAGAGCAGGAATGCAACGGCCCGCTCGAGAACCGAAGGCTGTCTTTCTAATGCTGGGACTAGCGGTAGGGACCTCCGACGTTTGGGTTGAGGGGTCTGTATGGGAGCACTTATCGGTTGAAACGAATCTAAAGTAAGATTGAAAGAAACATCAATAGTTTGGCGAAAATCAGAGGGACACTGCACCGCACTTGACTCCTCAATCTACAGCTACGACAGCGTATGACACCCGGTCGAACTAGAAAGGGAACTCGGCAGTCATAGCATGGAGTATAACAAGGCTCCAGATAGCGTGCAGCTTCACAACGCATGCAGCGGACACTTGGTGAGTCGGCGGGAATTGGTATGTGGCAACGCAAGCAGGGGCGGTTTTCTGGTATGGGGGGAGCAAGGAGAATCGACAAGCAGGACATGTCGGTGATTGAATTGCCATAGACAGGCGTACTTGACGACCACAGCCAGAACAAATTCGATTAGATAACATTCCGAGGGTACTGAGACAAAAGTAAGGGAAAGGGCAAATGGGAGAAGAAACGCACTAAACGCAGTAAGAGGGCATTGTAGTGGCGATAGAATTCCCCGCGTTGCAATAAAATGAATGGTGACAAGCAGATGATGAAGCAATCAAGGCAACACAACCTCATGATATGCACAATAACCCTACAACCCTTAGCCAAGACAATCTAATCCGAAAACAGCGGAAATAAAGCAGGTACCCGGAGTTGCGAAGGCGAACGGGAAGCGTGCGTGGCAGAACAGTCCATATACAGCTAAGCCACCTCTTTTGCAACTGGGGGACGCGCGCTGACGCACGCTGTAAGCCCTGAAACGACGATGTGGAAGTTCTGGAAGTTCAGGTAAAAGGGCGCAGAGATATTTATTGACACGGCAACTACCTTGTGGATTTGTGGTGCGAAAATATGAAACACATCCCAACCCAAAAATGCGAACTAGTACCTCTTTGAGCGGCTCCAGTAATCAGATTCCATATAAGACGGATTTCCTTCCATGTCGGACGGCTCTCGTACATACTTATCTAGAGTGGCTTGAAATAAATCGTATGTGAGATTGGGAATCGACTCCATCAGTTCTGAAGTAATTACCGGCGTGGGTCCGTTTCGGAGATTCGGCAGATTAGCAACTAGCATTTCGATCGCCAGTTGCCTCAGCTCCTGGTAATTGGCTCGTATCGAATGCAGTTCCTCGGCGGTGTCTGCAAAGGACTCTCTTTCGGGAGAACTCATAAATGACGCGCAGAAATGCATTCCTGCTTTGCTTCTTAGGTCGTCGATCATGAAGTAGTCCGCTTCGCCATACATGCGCACGTGGAAGTAACATGGATGACAGTCGGCTAATGAATCCACGATTGGCTCTGTAAGGCCCCCTTTATCCCCTTCCTTGCTTGCGTATTCTGGGTGAAATTCGTCAATTGAAGCTGGGTTCTCATTCGTCTGTAGCCCAGGTACAAGTGTCTCTGGTGTGTTCTCCAGGGTTTCGTAACTGTTTCAGTGAAGTGCTCATCTAAATGCGCCTTAACTTCATCAGTGACATCATTTTCTGGTTGGTGCTCCCACGATGGCTCTTCTGCGGGCCACCTATCCATCACGGGTACGTCTCCGCCATCGGCCTGTGTGATTTCTGAGGTTTTCGTAGGGGATGGAGCGGTGTAATTTCCTGTATATAGGAACTCCAGCATTTTCTCAATGAGGATTGGGTCTTTCTCGGTTAGGCGAATCGGATGTTCGGTTTCCTGCAAGTCATCGTCGCTTATCAGTGTTAGGTCCAATAGTAGTTAACAGACAGAACTTGTAACACCTTAAATCGGCTATAGCAAGCTTTTTGGAAGTACTTTGATCTGGGACAAACAACAAGCTTATGGGCTGAGAGAATCTTATCCTTGCAAATAATGGTCAAATCGCTGTAGTCCGAATGAGATGCAAGCTACGCCATGTTAGTGAACTGGCATAATTTGTACTAATGCTGGGGTAGATGAGCTGGATGCTGGATATTTCTCACATCGCAATGAGCCCGAGAATGGTCTCTTGATCCTCCCTGTCCTGTGCCTCCGGTGGTGGAGGGTTGGATTCCTCGGGGTAAGCGTCGCTATACTCAGACGTGGAGTAGCGAGAGGACTTGTCCTTTTTCTTTTTCATGGTTAGGCGTAATGGAAGAAGCGAAAATGCAATCAGAGCGGGCAGACCATAAGGCCGGATCGGCGGGCCAAAACAACTAGGTTGTTCTGGGGACTGTTGATTTTGCTCCATATTCGGAGAATGAGTTACCTCAGTTCCCTCAGACCACAGCCAATGATGAGACAGAATTCTGCCGATTCTGCCACGCTAACCCGATTGGGTTGCTTCATCAGCCCGTGGTCTGAGCCGGGAACCCCTTCCGTACATACAAGTTTCCGGTTCTCGCCAGCAACCCCACCATTTGGTCAAGGTGTGTTTTCTCAAGCTCTCTGAGAGTATTTCTGACATTGTTAGAAAGAATGGCATCACCGGATTTGCCCAATATGATCTCTAGATCGCGAAAGCGTGCTCGACAATCCTCCCTCGAGTGGCCTTCTTCCAGTTCACCATTACAAGAACCACCTGCGTCTACTCAGCGATCTCGTTATATCTCAGGATTGCAGCCACGCGAACGTGTCGATATGGTACTGGCTGAGCTTAATGATAAGCACCGGTGGACAATCAAGGATCTTCTTTACCACATGGTGCATGCACAACCAGTCAAAAAAAATGGATATTCGACATCGTATCGAGCACAGAAATTGTCTGACGCTATATATGGGCAACCTGAAATTATTGAGCGGCTAGGTAGTGTCTCAAAAGACATATATGCCACTGGTGCATCCGATCTCGTGTCTCGGATACAGACCGAGATTCGAGGGCTGATTAACGGAGATATACTCGGCGAGTTCCAGTCCAATGTGGACCCTAAAGATATGGACATCTCTAGCTTGGCTACGCAGATGCAGAGGAAAGCTCCAGAGCTCTGTGGACTGCTCGTTAGCATCATGACACCTCCAGGAAACCATCGCGATACACCCAAGATCCACCAGGGCAGCATTGTGATGGTCTGTTCAATTCTGGCTTGCGCTTTTGCACCACGGAAAAGCAACAACTTCCCGATGTTGATCGGCTTGTATTTACATGCAATGGGTGTCAAGCGACGTGTGATTAGCTTTCTGGCTGGCCTGGGGATAAACTCAGCATACCAGACTATCATGGACAGACGGAAGGAACTTGCAGAACTAGGACAGGTACTATAACCGCATTTACCGGAGAATAACATGTTCTGGCTGACTTCTTACCCCAAGATGTGTACAGAAACAATTGAAACAGAATGCCCAGGCTTCTCGCAGGAATCTCATTGTGGCATGGGATAACTTTGACTACAGCCAGACTGTTCGACATCAAACTATTCGTGATCCATCAGAGCATATCTCCGCCACCACTGGCAAGCTTTGTATCGGTCAGTCCATCCCTGCAGGAGGGCTTCTCCGATCTATGTTCCATCCAGAGGTTACACTGAGTCCTCATGATATCTACATGGCACCAGGCAATCAGGATGATGAGATCTTCCATCAATGTCAGCGCCATTGGATTGCAGAGGCCATTCGCTATACTCATCGGGAGGCAGTAGAGAAACTATTTACTGCGGAAGCGTGCGTCAAACCAGGCCAGATGAAACCGCGAGCCCATCTTATTGACTGGCCTGAATTCCCAGCAGTTAAACGACTGCAAGCGCAGAAGACAATTCACTACAGCCTTGGGCCAATGTTATACAACGAAGGCACGACAGAGGGGACATACAAGGTCATTCAGAATGTCTTTCTGGAGCAACTGGGGGATGATGATGATACAGACCTTGATGGGCTTTTACAACTGGTTTATGGAGATCAGAAAACAGTGTCACTCCTTCGTGCCGTCAAAAAAGAACGTGCGGAGGCTTCTCGTCTTTTCGATCGTTTCAGCTGGATATTGCCAATCCCCGGACTGTTCCACTGGCGTATGAACTACTTGGATATGATCTTTGAGCTCTATGCTGGGACAGACCACCCTACCGTTGAATCGACGATCCATCATAATAAGGTCTGTCTCGGTTGCGTACAGGGACACAAAAGTCCATTCCACCATAAAGAAGAGGTGGCTACTCGCTCATTTGACGCTCGCGTCACGGCCATGTTCTATCAGTTTGTCCCATTAACAGTCAATTTCGCGGATGCTAAAGATGTGGATGATTGGATTCAAAGCCTCGGAAGGGGTCAATTCCTGGACGTTGTGGATCAGATACGCCAGTCTCTGTTCCATTTTAAAGAGCAGCAGTCTAAGGTTCGTGAACGAGAAGGAGAACCAGTCGACTATGAGTTCTCAGCACATGCGAAATTCCTTCAGCAGATGGAGACTTACAAGTCCTTGAAGCTTGCCATCAAACTTGGTGACATTGGAATTATCCAGCGGATCTTTGCACAATGTTGTCTCCTCTTCCCTGGCACAAAGAAAACCCGATATTCTTTCCTCTCCTTGTATATGACATGGCTCACTCAAACCAAAGCAGCTGATCCCGAGCTGCAGACTGCCATTCTTGCCAACGGACTTGTGAATCTACGGGGTGCGGAGGACGGTTGGTTCGAAATTGATCGACTGAATGAGTTCTTCAATCTTCATATGAAGACACTCATGTCGACTCGACGGACCTCAAATCTGGACATCACTACCATGTTCCGTCGAACTGCTCTCACAGCCAGCTACTGTACTGATCTAAAGGAGCTTCTGGAGGCTACCTTTGGAGAATATAGCAATGGGCGACACCAAAATAAGGATGCTAGCCAGGATGTTCGTCATCTAGCTTATCAGATCTCGAAGTGCATCCAAAAGCAACCAAATGGTCGGACAAGAGGCTTTCAACCATGTGATATACTCACAGAAACAATTGGCGAAAAGCTCTTCAAAGCCGTACAGAACTTCAATAGCCTCGTCGTCAACGGACAGTGGGCACAAGAAGTTGATTTTAGCAAGATGACATCGACTCCTATTGCTGTTCTAGATGAGATTGAAGAGAATGACACATGACACTGAATAGCAGGTTGCTGCCGGGACAGCTTTAGCTATACTTCTCTTCATTCCATTGATAATACTCCCACGCTATATTATAAGGTGACTGACACACATTGATGGAATGCATCAGATGGATTGTTCATCATTCTCTACCAGACCTTAGAACCTAGGTCTTCTCCACCCTTCATCACGCGACGCCCATTTCCTGATACCACACCGAGGGCCTTGCGTTTGGGAACTGGAGTTGCCGAAGGAGGAGGCATGTCCATAAAAGCTTGGGATGGCGTGTTAATATCAACCCACGGAGAGATATTCCGAGATGGAGTTGGTTGACTGGTGCTTTCTGGCGTGACTGCAGAAGACCATGTGAGGTTGCTGCATTCACTCATTTGACTAGAGTCATTCGACACACGCTTCCTCTTTGCAGGGGTTTGAATAGTGGCCATAAAGGCTGCTTGATATGCATTCTTCAAGACATCCACAAGACCCTCAGCAAGCTGATTCGACAAAGCCCATATTCCCAATATTGTCTGAAGATCCTTTGCCTGGAAATATTCCCGCTCCGAATAGGTGGCATTTTCAATATATATCGCAAGATGGACATATTGTTCTTCTGCCAGTATGCTTGAGCAATCAGGTATGAACTTCACTCCGTTCAAAGCGCTTGAAAGGACCTCCTTGGACCAATATTTTAACTGGTTGATGATTATCTCGTCCATCTGTCCTGACCTCGGACCGTGCTCAGTATACAGATAACGAGTTGGATCATTGAGCTGATACTCAGGATTGCAGTTGCTGCAGCACCGGTCACGCCGAGGATTACATCTGAACTCTTCAGGTTCATTGAAGTAGTCCAGGAACCGTTTCCGGAGGCATTCTGTAGGCTCATTGGCAAGGAGATACCAAAATTCAGGCAACACAGCACGTCGCTCTTCATGACTTAAGCGTCCACCTTTCTGTGGTCTCTCAGGGTTTGCTTCTTTGACTTCATCATCTGAATCGGCCAGTGGGTTGTCTTCCGCTAGATCATCATTTTCTGTATGAATCTTGCGTTTCACGGCACGTTTCTTGATACGCCCCTGTATCCACTGATCAACGAGAATAACGATCTTTCCATCCTGTCCAAGGCGAGATGCCCGACCACCGCGTTGCCAGAGCGTTGCTGGTTGTAGGTTTTTGGGGAACCGATACATGACAACTTGATCAATATCCTGGAGGTCCACTCCGAGCGCTAGTGCCTCGGTGGTCATGAGGACACGAAGCTTGGATTGCGGTCCGGGTTTCTGAAGCTCTTTGATCATTGCTTCCTTGTCTCCCTTTGCGGTGTCGCTATGGTAGACCTTCACCGTATCCATTGCCTCTTTGAGGGTATAGTTGCAATGTTGAACACTTGCCCCATCTGGTTGCTTGTTATGCTGCAGCCAATACCGACAATTTTCCATGGCAGTATATGCATCATTCTTCGAGTCAAAGAATACCAATGTCTTTGGGATTCGTGACGGTCGTAAAATGGGCTGACAAGGACCATTGTCAAACAGGAAACGCAAGGCCGTTGCCTTCTTATGCGCGCCTTGTGGGATCCAAGCTGTTTGAATGAGCAACTCTGGACGATTGACGGATGTCCGCAAGATTTCAACATCCTTTGGAAACCCAAGTCCCTCAATAACAACGCGCAATGTATTCATATCAAGCGTAGCAGAGCATGCAAACCAGGGGACGCCACTGCCGAATAGACTTCGCAATTGATGCAATCGCGCATAGTCCGTTCGAAAATCTTTGCCCCATTGAGCCACAAGATGAGCTTCGTCTACAACAACCAGAGCCAGCCGGTCTCGGAAACCTGGATGCATAGCAGTTGAACGGAACTTGTCACTGATTGCAAGCTCTGGACTCACGAGGACATGTGTGAACTTGCCCGCTTGTACCCTGTCAAGAAGTTCGGATGAGAATGTTTCCCTGTTTAGGAAACAAGGTCGCCCTCCAATGTTCTCGATGTAATTGGTCTGCTCAACGCCAATTTGATTCAATGGAAGCACAACAAGGGTGATAGACTTATCAAGCAAGAGTGACACTGCTTGCAATATCATACTCTTCCCAAATGACGTCTTCGCAATCAGGATAAGGTCCTTTCTCAGGTAGATCAATTGTCTCAATGCTTGCAACTGACCCGCACGTGGATAATAGGGATACAGCTCTCGAATTGCTTGTCTGATGGCTTGGTCCTGTTCATCCTTACGCTTCTCAGACGCATCGCGAATCAGTTTCTGCGCTTGAAGAACTGAATTCTTCTCAACTTGTTGTTTCTCCAGCAAGACAGTTGCGCCCTCATTCTCGTACTCCACTCCCAATTCAATAGGCTCTCCAGCCTTTGAAGAAGGTCGATTATTCTCAGAGGCCAACCAGTTATCCAACTGTGTCTGTCCATTTCCGGGGTCGTTCAGTTTCGCGTTATATTTCCGAGGAGGCTTCCGTCGTGATGGGCGTCGATCTGGCATCGTGAGGCGGGTTTGGAGTCAATTCTCACGCGATAGAGTTAATATTGTGGATCAGATGTAGCCACTATACATTAAAATATGTCAATATATGCTTCATGGAGGTTTTGGCGGAATACTTGGGGCATATAATGGCTTTGACAGCTTAAGAAAGGGTTCCTTCGGGTATTTTAAGGACATATTTCTCACCCACCTTTCCAGTTATACATACAATTTTGGTGTCAATGGGTTCAGCTCAGAAAGATGCAGAAGACATCGTCGCCCGATTCTTAATATTCGCGTGGGTGCGCGAGAAACTTGGAAATATTGAAAGACGCGCCTGGAAACTTCGCCATATAAACACGGGCAAAAACCCCGGAAACTTGTATGGTACCACCAAATTCCCAGCTCAGACGTTCCCCAAAAAAGGTGTGTCAGCATCGCTGGAAACAGCAGGCGGTGGATGGCCAAATTCACCGCCTTTTTGGGGGCGGCTGAGGTAACTGAGGTAAGTTCCTGGCAATGCGCAATACCGCAACTTCGGAGATATATTGATCCGCCAAACGTAAATATAGTACAGCCTTGGCTTGGCACTGCTCAGAATCTGACGCTCCCGGATCACACCCCTATTCAACATATTTCGTCGTTCTTCTCTTCCCCTACAAACATGTCTGGTGCAGAAACTTCGCTTGTGGATGTGCAAGCTTCCAGCGTGATATCAATCATTGATGCGACTCTGGACTATTACCTCCACATGAAAGATAAAAAAGACCTCCCCGAGGCGTTCCATAGCGTGGCCAGGGTCCTGTCCACTGTGCGCGACATTCTCGGAGCGTTCAGGGAACAGATCAATCGGCCCCCGGGCATTGGCATTGCAAAAAGCCAGTCCGCCATCATCACCTTCGACAATGAAGCAATCTGGCTTCGGGAAATGTTTCATATAGTGGCCCGGTCGGGCGAGGAACCGTGTGCAGAGTACTTAAAAGCCGCCCTCACCGTTAGCAAAGGAGTGCCCGTCGAGTCAATGATGAAGAAAATACTTGAGGGTGTGCAGCTACTGGTGGACGACCACCTGGTTGATATGGCCTCTGATAAGCAAACCAAGGCTCTCGCCAAGGCGCTGGAAGAGATATCTACTATTCCCCCTTCGATCCCAGAGGACATATATTCACAGAATGGCAACCACAACAGTCGATGCATATTCAATGCCGTTGGAGGCACGAATTACTATAATTTTGGCGGAGGCAATCATGTCATCTTGGGAAAAAACGCATACTTTGGTGATGAGATCTTCAAAAATAAACGATGAGAGATCGGTCCATCCTGCACGGTAGATTGATGTAACGTACGTGAGGTGCCGGAAATACTGTTAGGCGGTGTGCCGAAACATGACTTCGATACCTTCACCACAATTGAAGATAGATTTATCAAATAGCAGTACTGTGTTGTCATAGATAAAAACACCCTGGGTTATTCTCTGACTCCGATTTCGAACACCAGCGAATTCTGAAGTTAAATTATTACAGGGCGTTCGTCTAGTATCTACGGTCGCTGCGCAAATTAGAATTGCTTAGCTTCGAAATGAGCCTGTGCTAAGCATACCCCTTTTCTAGCTTGTCTCCAATTGATAACGTATATCATGGCCCGTTAACAGCCTGATAAAGTTGACTTACCCGCACCACTGGGGCTGAAGAGCAGGAGGGCGAGTTTTCCCGTTAATTCTCTAAGAAATGTTAGCAGATGCTACAGTATACCCTGCTCAAAGGAAAACTCACACTGATAACCACAGGCCCATGATGAAGATGCGAAAGAACCTGTTTGTTCTTGGACTCTCATTCTTCTTCAAGCTTCTGTTGCTCATGGCCTTAGGACACAACATGAGCTTTTGAACCCTCAGAACTCAGAACCTGAAAACGACTCGTTAACTCACCGGTCATATCCTAATTAAGTAGCCCACCGATGTCAACCCACTGCTGCCTTTTACGGAAGACCAGGAGTGGAGGCAGGAAAGGATTCTTGAACGAACTCGAGACCGTCGAAGCGATAGAATCACGCTTGCTGCGCCCGCAATTTCTAGCTACTGCAGAAACTTCTTTCTTATCATCCAACCAGGATATCCTCCCAATGACACTCGTGCTGCTACCTACTTCAGAGAAACCTTTGAATCTGGGCTCCTCACTGTCGGCGGACGTGTCCGTAGTATTAGAGATGGTGTGCAACCGATTGAAGTCAACTCATTGATAGAAGGCCTTCAGGGATTCTCAAAGGACCTGGAGGAACATTTGGGATTATTGTTCGTGGTCATGGCAAAGTTGAAAACCATGAAGTTTTCTTAAAACTTGGACCCAACCGGATCGCCAACTCCGAACTTCTGGATATTTTGAGATCGAGCTGCAGCGGGATCAGCCCTATTTCTATTATTTTTACGCCTCGTGTTACAGTGCCGCAGCTGCCAGGAGCGCCATAGGCCTTTCTGTTAGATCCGTTGTTACTGGGCTGTCCTATACGGGTGCCATGAAGGATAAAGACGTCCAGCATTGGATAAACGCACTAGCGAACAACTGGCCTGCAAAGACATCTGCTCTAAGCTTGCTTGAAGCATATCTTCTTCATGGACTTAGAAACCGGTATTCTCCGACGATCGCCGTAGTCGATGTCCTGGGAACAAGAAGTTATGATTTAAATGACTTGTTTTTCCAGACCCTAGGTACGCGTGTACCCCAAGCAGTGGTTGAAAAAGTCAAAGGGAGAGGTAATTGTGGGAGTGAAATCGAACGCGTCGCTACAGAGATACTCAATGCTCGACACGAATATTCAGTTGATGCCGTTGAGTATGGGGCTGAACTAGTTCTTGGATTAGAATGCGACGTTCAGTGCCAGTGATATTGCATCAAGCAAACGGACGCGAGCTATTTCTTCGTGGAGCCGCACACCGAGAGACCAATGAAGATAGATGATCTAACCAAGATTTTTATTTACCTCGCACATGATCGAGAATTAACCATAGTAACTCAGTCAATCAGGCTTGTTTTGAATGCACTCCCTTGGCAGTGATGAATTGGTGATCAATGAAAACACCAGCAAGCGTCTAAGGACTTTTTGATATTCAATGAGAGATTCGTAGTGCGTGCCTTTAAAAAGTAATCCGACTTTCACAACCTGCAAAAGAGACGAGAAATCAAACACTAATAATCGAACAGTAAGTTAATGTGTTAACAACACTTCTCCCGGTGCGGACATAATTGTGCAAAATTCAATAATATCGATCTGAAATTATATGTAGTTTTAAAATCAGACATCCTGGACCCCTGTGACGCTCGAGCGTGAAATACTTCTAGTCCCGCAAGGTATATTCTATTCCGGTGGACGGTTGTTCGCAGCCACTCCTGATTAACACGCTGTATTATTCATGTTAAAGTAGACTGTACTCAAATGGAGGGGTGAAGGACAACCCGCCATATATTTTTGTACGACAATAGTTTTATTTGATGAATCTATCTTATCTATGTGAATTTTCGGCACACCGCCTTGTTTCGGCACCTCATATATACGTTAATTTAAAATAAAATAGCCAATCTAGAAAGAATATGGCCAAGAAGAATAAAAATAAAAAGAAAAAGAAAAAGAAAAAGAAAAATATAATTAATAATTAGTAACTAAACCCCCTATGGACTAGTTTTCGCCTTCTTCGCAGAAAAGCAGCGCCCAATAAATTATCTCGCATTTTGCATAGTAAACATGCAAACAGAAAGACCTCGGCTGATTTAAAGTTTGTCCACATTGGTTTCGCCGCTCAAGCCCCAAGAATCGACTAATGGATCCAAGGCCTTCTAGGAAGGCTCTCATCGAAGTGGTTGGAGATCCGCTGTACTGTAGAACCTAACACTAAAATTTTGTTTAAAGGGGGATTCCCATGAACTCCGCATTGATTTTCGCCAATACATCACGAGCAAAATTGGGATTTTCCTCATCTGATATCAGGTAGCCGGAGCTGGTGTCGTAGGGGAGGACTTCGAGTGTGTTTAATGCGGTTCGCTCGTTTTTGAGAAGTGCAAGATGTGAAAACTGTCTTCTCTAAGCCTGATTTCTCCTGACTGACCATCTACCATGCTCTAACCGATAAAGCGCCTTGGGATAGCCCGGGCCTATCTGCGCAGATTGCTCCTGCCGAGACCTTCCGTCCTTAACGACCCTGGACCTGACGGCAAAATGGCAAGACTCACACTTTGATCTTTGATCAAGCCTTTCCGTCCACCCTAGTCCAGCCAAGTCGCTATTCTCTAGATGGAAGACTGAACTTAGTGCGTGCACAAATAACCAAACATATTGAGGATATCGGATATGACAAAAACACTATTCTGACTATCCAGAGCTGGCTGCCTAATGAACAAATAAATGATTTTTACACGGCCCTAAGAGGAGCTATCCACAGATTCCCTTTTGTCTATCTATAGAGCGGGTTCTAGAATAAAGCTTTGGAATAGTGGAAGGGAACGCACAGTCCAGAATGAGTCCTAGAGTACGTAGTTACAGCTACGGCAAAGATCAAATATAATCATTTATAAAGTGCTGAGGCCCCTTGAATTAGATAATGAAATGAAATGGCACGATGGCAGTCTGGCATAGCAGACGGGTCGATATAAATGAGTGACAGCACAATAAACCATTCCCATGCCCTGCTTAGGCGTAGGGAGCAATCTCTGTAGGTGGCTATCGCACTAATATTGAAGCTATATCATGAATGAAGAATCTTGGCGAAAAACTGTAGTCATATTGATGATCGTAGGATGATGCCCTCTCTATGAAAGAACTGCATGCAAGCTTCCTAGGGCATTTGCAATACCTCAGACCATGAATACGCTACAGTAGCGACCGCTTTGGCCTTCCATGTTAGAAACAGAGAGATTCTCTTTCAAACCCTAGTCACATGATACGCTAAACTTCATATGATATAGCGTAAATAACCAAATTTGTACTGCCCAGGTATCAATACAAAGCTATTTGTTCGATCACGGTATGGAATATATAGGAGCCTACTGGTACTAAACAACCACGTGGAAGCTGAACTGAAAATTTCGATGCGAATCTGGCAAACTTGGCATTCAAACGCTTTGAGGTATATTCGCATATAAGACGTGATCATAGCTGGGGAAGGCGGGTTATGGGAGGCTAAAGTTTGGCACCATACTTCATCACGGGCACCATCTAGGAAGATTTGGTCTAGAGAAAGCTCGAGTATCCACAGAGGCATCTCAGATCTAGCCACACCTTGCCGTCCACCCATCTGGATCCATTATAAAAATGCTCTTTTGCGACTACCGCTTCTTAAGTATCAGTGGCGGAGGCTAAGAGTACATTTACGAAAAGTCATATCCGTCTACTATAGGTTAGCCATACAGTATGATAGTTTTCGGAAAAAGAAGGATTCTTCACGCACTTATGGCAGAAGGGAGTTGCAAAGACTTTGACATGCCACCTGACCGCCGGGGCTGTAAAGTCCCGTAACAGCGCTATAGCACGTAGGCGTAAACCATATCATAGTAGGTACAGCAGCAAAGACCGGAGTAGTTGCACCACAAAAACTTGACATCACACAAGGACCGGCCGCGCAGGCAGCTTTGCACCCGGCAAAGGAAATCACCCACGCGTGAGCGCTAGGTAAAAAGAAAGGCAATAGACAATAGTAGATTATCGAATGTTGCATCCTGATAAAGAACCAGTGGGGTTATTGATCCACTTAAAAAAGAGGGGCATTGCTTACTTTAAATTGGAACACTCTTGGGGAAACAAGGAGTAAGTCACATGATAAGTTGGGCTGAAAGAGATGTCAGCCTGACGGCTGATGTGTAGGATCAATACATTCACTAGAAAGCCGGAGCGACTATTCTGGAGTTTAACCCAATAAATAAAGGGGACAATCATTTTAGAGATACAGTATAGTACGCCAATATAGGCGTGAATCATGTCGCATAAGGCCATGAACATAACTCCAAGGTTCAAGGTCTCGCGGTGCTGTCTCCAGTCAATTAATGACTCACGTTCTGTCCAATTTTCCAGTTCATCTTCCACATGTTACTTAGTACTAGAGCTAGGCTCCTATATCTTCCAAACCGTGATCGTATAAATAACTTTGCATTGATACCTAGGCAGTAAAAATTTGGTTATTTACGCTATATCATATGAAGTAGACCTCGCCAAAACCCGCCCACAACCCAAACCCGCCCACGAAAACCCGCCCCACGGGTTGGGTCGGGTCTTAGTCAGCAGACCCGTGGGCGGGTCTTCATTTTGAGAACCCGACCCGCGACCCAAATGGGTACCCATATAACCCGCGATAGCCAAAAAAGAGTGATTTGTCAGCTAGCATAAAATAATGCCGTATCTTTGATTTATATCAAGGTATGGCTCTGGTATAAGTATGGTCTAAAGTTTTGGAGTACATAAATTTGAGGAATAAAACAGATTAAGCTTAATTCATAGACTAATACAGCTCGTAACCCTGCAGCCGGCTTGAAGGTACTGTTACCCTACCGGATGATCTCTTGTGAGACCTATCGCCGAGGCGTGTGACCGGAGGTGGGAGCAAATCTCCATCGTCGTCCTCATCTTCGGCCACTTCAGCCATCGCCGCATCTTGCACTTGATCATGGGCTGGAAGTTCCTCTGAGGCTGTGCTTTCTACTCCACTTACCCCTTCGACGGCGAGACCTGTTTCGGAATCCTCAATGGGATCGTTCTCCTCGACATCGCTGATAGGAGCAATATCGTCTTCAGTCTCCTTTAACGCCTCATCTT